GTGGCATCACAGCTCACAGCAACCTCCAACTCCTGGGCTCAAGCGAGTCTCCTGCCTCAGCCTCCCAAGTAGCTGGGACCACGGGCACCCGCCACAACACCTGGCTATTTTTTGGTTGCAGCCATCATTGTTGTTTGGTGGGTCCGGGCAGGATTCGAACCCGCCACCTTGGGTGTACATGGCTGGTGCCTTAGCCACTTGAGCCACAGGCGCTGAGCCAGTATATTTTTAAAAAGTAATACTACATTATCACCAAAGATTTAAGAAAATAACCCAGAAGTTTGTAAATGGAAAGCGAAAGCCCCCTACTATTAAAACTAAGGTCTTTCACAGTCTCAACTTTTGTGCCCACCCCCAACTCACAGCATCACCCGCAATAGGGAGGGTGCCCTATGCCATTCCCACTGGTGAGGCAGCTGGGTGTGCCGTTTTATAACTAGGAGGCTGCTTTGGGGCTAGACTGACTGGAGTTCTGGGAACAGATGTGGAATGGTAGTCTGTTGTGTTTTTGTCTAACATTTGAGATTCTGCAATGGGTGTGAGGCCCAGACCACAGCCCCCCATGCTCTGAGCTCAGTGTTCATCGTCCTGTGCCCATATTGTCCTGGGTGCAGGGTTTATATGCAGAAATGAAAGGCCTTATTGTCAAGTGCCTGCCCATGGGACTGGCCTGTTTCAGGCTAATGTGGGTCATCTGAGAACTTTCTGTGGCCTCTCCTGGTGATTGGACTCGCTTGGTCTACTGCTTTGAACCGGGGATATCAAAGGCAAGAGCATCAATTATCATGACAGTAACCCGCTGCTGAGCCTGGGTTTCCTATTCTGCAAGCTGCTGGCTGTCAGGAAGGGTTCTCAGTGAGAGTGAGTCTGCTCCAGAAGGGCTGGTACATAGCATGGACACATCCCCGTGCTGAGCTTTCTCCTCCCTGATTCTGACCTCAGGAGTTGCCGGACAGACTAGCTGCTGGTGTTCTGTTTTCCCAGCCTGGCTCGGCTTTTCGGACATTGCCTGTATCCTCTTGTAGTAAATGGTGAAGAGTCAGTGCAGGGTAGCTGCGAAGTGCTGACACAGATGGGTTCAAGCATTGGCTGTCATTAGCTAGCTGCATGACCTCACATAGGTCAACAGGTCAGTTGACTTTTACTTGGGAAAGGAGTGGGTTGGATTAAATGAACATCAATTCTGTTCCTGACTTTATTGAGCAGTTATTGTATGCAATATACCGTGGAATCTCTGGAAATGTAATGGTGCTTGGGTCTGTGGCATCAGGAAGCTGACCATCTACTCAGAGGTGTGCACAAATAACTGGGCAAAATCCACTCGGTGTTTTAAGTGGGAAGGGCTGCGTCTCTCCTGTGAGCAAAGGAAGGGCTCCTCCCCCAGCTTGGAAAGTTCCTGGAAGAAGTGGAGTCTAAATGAGACCTGAAGAGTGAGTGGGAGTTGGCAAAATGCAGATGGAAGAAATAAAGGAAGTTCTTAACTTTCCTTTCTTACTCTGACACTCTGCTTCTATTTTTCATAAATTGGCTTCTTGTCTTTGAGAAAAGACAAATTCTTCCTGGTGTGGAGTAGCCTTCAGAAGCTTGTTTGGCCTTTGTATGTGGCTCTGAAATATTGCTGATTCAAGGGCAAGGAAGAGGTAAGAGAGCAGAAGCAAGGACCTAGAGATACATTCTTCCTGGATTATTTGCTTCTGAATCAGTAGGAAAGCCACAACATGGGGTTAAGCCTGGGTGGCATTGGGGGTTTCATGGGGATGTTGAAGAAGTCAGCCAGCTGAAAAGTATCGCCTCTGGGTTCTGGTGTCACTTTATTTTATTTTATTGCTTTTAATTTATTTTTCCTAGAAACAGTTTTGCTGTATCATCCAACCCAGGCTGGGGTGCAGGGACTTGCTCACAGCTTATTATAACCTTGAACTCCTGGGCTCAAGTGATCCTCCCACTTCTTTT